CCCCGCCCCCCGCCGGGCAGCTGCCTCCAGCCCCCCGCCGGGCAGCTGCCTCCAGCCTCCTTCAGACAGAAACCAGAAGCCGTCGGGCAGGATTCCTCAGGGGAGCCCCAGCACGACCTTCCCCGCCCAACGCCCTCCTCCCTAAGGAGCCCGGACAGTGCCCCTCCCCCCACCAGCGGCCACTCACGTGTCACCCAGTCCCTGTGGGAGGGGAACAGGTAGGTGCTGAAAAGGCAGGAAAAGTGGCAAAACGGCCATCCTTTACAAAACTTATAGTTTTAACAGCTTTATTGATACATAATTCACACACCATAAAATCCTACCAGTTAAATTGTCCAATTCAATGATTTTTAGGCTATTCACAGGGTTGTGCAACCATCACCACCATCTAATGTTAGAACATTTTTGTCCCCCAAAAAATTCAACTACTGATCAGCCTCTCTCCCACGGACTCAGCAGCCGCCACTCCTGTCTCCAGACGCCCCAATTCTGGGCATTTCCTAGACATGGAACCCGAAAACCGGTGGCCTTCTGTGACCGCTCCTCACTGAACACCGGTTTCCAAGGTCACTTCGTGGTAGGAGTGCGGGTCACCCCTCTTGAGGCTGAGGCTCCATCCTTAGAACGCCCCGCTGCGCTCAGCATCTTCTGTTGATGGACAGAAGGGCGAGCCCCGCCCTCCCCGCACTAAAGGTGGAGTTGGGGTGTGTGGAAGTTGATGTTTCACTTTGCGTGGAGCTGCCCGGCAGCTTCCAGCTCCCACGAGCCGGGAGTGAGGCTCCAGCGTTGCCGCCTCCTGGCCAGTCTGTGATTCTCGCTGGGTGGGAGTGGGATCTCCAGCGTGTGATGTGCCTTCTCCTGACTGACCATATTGGGCGTCTCTGCATGGGTGGCCATTTCGGTTTCACAAACACGTCAGGCAGCCCGGGCGGCCATGTGCTGTTTGTTGCTCAGCTGGGCCCCTGGAACATCGGGGTGACCCAGCCGCGCAACCCTGGCCACAGAGCTTCCAGTCCACAGGGGTACAAAACAGGTGCCTGGGGGGTCACTTCATGGCTGGCCTGCAGCGGGTCCCAAGCCCCAGGGCGATGACGATGCCCCTCGGAAGGCGGCGCCGCCCTCACCTGGCCCTCAGCCCCCGGCGCCGCCCCGCCCAGGAATCCCGGCCGCGCAGAAGTTTCCTGGCGCGCAGCGTCGGGCATCAGTCACTCCCCTCGCAGGCGGCACGCGGGACCGCGGGGCCCACCCAACGCCCAGGCCCCTCTGTCGGCCCAGGGTCCACATGGACGCGCGGGGACCCGAAGCTCCGGGCGGGGACGCGCTGCGGGACGCAGTGAGTGGGGACCCCCGCGCCACCTCCCTCCTCGCCGTCCGGGCGCTTGAAGGGGGACTCGGGGGCGGGATGCGGGCGGCGGGCGCCCTGCTGGGGGCGGAGGGCTGGACCCCACAACCGAAGGGGCACAGAAACACCCCCCGCCCCTCCCACACACACACCACGCGTGTCCGCAGCCCCGCGGCGCCGCCAGCCAGCCTCCTGCGTGCAGGGAGCAGACAAGTGGTGACGGGGAAGCCACACTGAAAGGCCGAACCCTTTGTCCTGCTGAGAAGAATTTGGCAGATGTTGTAGACCTGAACCTACAGTTTCCTGACAAAGTGACTGTAGGAAAAGCCGCTGACAGAGGGCAGCAAATCTTCTCAGAAATGCACTTTCCGGAAGATTCCCGCCTCGGTAGCCCCATCTCTAACATGGAGAGGATTCCGGGTGTGAGGAGGGTTATATAATAACCAGTCTGAGGTTTCCACTTGTAAACTCTAAGCAGCTTGTCCCTGTGGCCTGCTGTCCCCAGCAGCAGAGACGTTTCTGGTCAGCGCCTCCGCAGGCTCCGGCTAATGAGAGCCGCCGGCAAGAGGGCAGAGCTCCACGCTGCCCGTGAGCTCTGGGTCGGCAGCCCAAGGTTCATACGAGCTCTCCGCGTTACCTGAAGACGTGCGATTGTCCTAGAGCTTCTGTTTAGGCTCTGGTCAGTCTGAGACGGTGTCTGTGTGCCGTGAGTGAGGGCCAGGCCTGTGTCTGTAGTCAGTCATGCATCTGGCCCTCTCATTATCCCAGCACTGCTGGTTAAAAAGGCTTTTCTTGATATGAGAGCTAGGGTTAACAAAAAATTCTAATACATGCTTATCTTGTTCTACATATTAAGAAAGAAAAAAAGAAAGAAAGAGAAAAGGAAAAAGAAAAAAAGGCTTTCCTTATTATCTGAAGGGAAAGGCCTTGGCACCTTGTCAAAAGCCAACTAACTGTATAAATGGATGGTCCCAGCCCATGGTGCTCCCAATGCCCTACATCGGGAGTAAATATTCAGTTGTCTTACGGTTTATTTTTTTCAGGCAGAAAATCTATTCCAGGAACTTCAAGAACATTTTCAAGCTCTGATTACAACATTAAGCCTCAGAAATATCCTTTTCTACCTTTTAGCAAAGACAGTGACGCTTTTGGACTGGTAAATGATCTTGGAATGTCTTTTTAGTGCGCAATTCTTGACCTAAGATTTCCTGGTGTTTCCGTATGTGCCTGTATGTGGCATCCTGATGTATTAATTACCACCCACAGGTAATCATTTCCTGCTTAACTGGCAGTACAGGCATTTTGTATGGCGAGGATAAATACAAGGACACCGGTTTAGTATCACCCAATGGGCCTTTGCCACCACGCCCTAAAGACACCTGGGGAGCCTAGTCCACCATGCATTCAGAAACCCACGGGCGTGACACGGAAGGGCTCCACCATAGGGCGCTAGACGTGATTCTCCCCACCTTTATTTTGTTTTCTTTCTTTTATTTTTTATTAGTTTCAGGTGTATATTTTGTTTTCTTTTTGTAACGCATTCACTGTTTTGTTAAGACATGAATTCAAACAGAATTAGGGTAGAATGTTTTGCTTGTGGAAATCCAGACAAGGGGAGCATCTGCCTTAAGACAAGCTCATGTCACATCACACAATTAAATTCATTCCTTAAAAGCTATGAGCAGAGTATTTGCATATGGAACCATTAACTTGGAATTTCTGGTTTTGTAGATGGGTTCCCACAGGGAAAAAGATTCTCAAACATGATAAAATTAAACTCAGCTCATTTCCATTATTTACATACTCATTAGAGTTTGCTTAAGACATAAATATACCAGCATGCCTTTAACCCCTGAATCTGTGTCCAGCCCAGAGGAGCCAAGTTTTCAGAACTGAGCTCACAGTTCAAAGGGTAAAGACACTATGAAAACCTCAGGGAAGGTTTGCGGATCTTCAGGTGTTAGTTTGTGCCGCGGTCTCCCGACTGGTCACAAGTCGCGCTGCCAGGACCTTGGGCCAGGCCCGGTGATGAGCAGGCAGAATCTGGAGCCGGGTCCTTGGGGACTTCTGGCTAGCGGCTCTGCACTCCACGTGTAGCTGTCCTTAACATGGAACTGGGAGAAATGGGGACCCGAATCGAAGACTTACAGAAGAATGTGAGTGACTTAATGGTGCAAGCTGGGATTGACACTTCGGTTAACGAACAAGCGGTAAGGCCATTCGCCATTCTTGTTAGGAAACAGCTAAGTTTACTTTTTGCAAAGTTTGTGACTGCTTTCATCTTGGAAAATGCAATCTCATATTTGTCCACTGTGGAATTACTGTCTCTGTGCTACATGGAAACTTCAGGAATAATGAAAGTCCTTCTCAAATGTTCTTTTCCAAATACATCAACCAAAACACTGTCAGAATCCCTTCAAAAATGCACCTTTAAATGAAAAAACTATTATTTAAAAATTGGATTTTATTGAAGTACTTTTTAACCCCACCCTTCAAATTAGTCTTTAGCTAAAACCCAAATCACGATGATTTAGAGCAGCAGTTCTCAACCTGTGGGTCGCAACCCCTTTGGGGGTTGAACGACCCTTTCACAGGGGTCGCCTAAGACCATCGGAAAACAAAAAGATATTTACATTACGATTCATAACAGTAGCAAAATTACAGTTATAGAGTAGCAACGAAAATAATTTTATGGTTGGGGGTCACCACAACATGAGGAACTGTATTAAGGGGTCACAGCATTAGGAAGGTTGAGAACTGCTGATTTATAGATTGGGGGTTATAATTAGCAGTTTCTGTCTGAGACAACATGTTCATGGAACCATTTAAAGAAAACACTTACGCATTTGAGAGTGGTCTGGAGGGTCCCACTGGCCCCGCACAACGCAAACATCTCTTTTCCAGTGGAATTTTGCACTTAATCTTGAAGATGCAAATAAATGCTTAGCTTCAGGTCTCAGGCTGGATGCATGTCCATTTGACATATATGGAGACGCACAACCTAAGACACATATCATTTTTTTTACTTGGCATGATATTGACTGCATGAGCGTGCTTTAATTGAACAATGAGATGCCTTTGTTTTTCCATTTCGTTGACAATTGTCAGCCTAAGTCAGCTGACATATATCCATATGTATGCTGGTAAATCGGAGCGGGTTCATCTACCCATGATGTATGAACACCTGCATCTGGTATTCCAGTAAAAAAGACAGCCATACCCTATGCCCTGCTACTCACGAGCTGGAGAACACGGCGGGCACTCTGAAATTCTGTCGCTGAGGAAAAATACCGCTTCCCCTGTCCGGGCTGTACGAGGCGGGGCCCACCTGCCCATCAGCCCTCCCTGGGCACTAAGGCCACCACCCTCTGAGGCTGGTAGGTGATAAGCCAGGGCCTGAGGGCTGGGACCAGTGGGTTGGGTCTCGACGCACCGCCAGGCATGGGATAGCCGTGCAATAAGTCCCTTCCCTTTATCACCCAACCCAGACTCCAGCTGGCTGTTTTAAGTTTGGTCAAAACCCACGAAATATTAGGCATCAAATTAAATGGCATCAAAACTTCACTTTTTTGATGCACATACAGCCATTATTTAAAGTAGCATCAGAGAGGTTCAGATAGCTAAAAGTTTTTTTTTTAAGTCTGTTAATACCTTTTAAATTAAAAGAAAGGCCTAAGTTCAAGCGTGTGTCTGTGGGTGGTGCCAGGTCAGGCTTGTGCCTGGATTTTGGGGGATTCTGCCAGCCCCCTAGACTTGTGTGCCTCTTGTGAGAGGAGACTCCATGATACCAGCGGTAAAAGTACTGCCCTGTATTCTGAAAGGGTTGGCACTTTGTCAGTCTCTGCATTAAGCCATATCTGTAACCCCTTTCCCACGTTCAGTTAAGCACAGACAGCCACGTTTGGACCAGCGTGCTCTCCCATCACCAGTGACTTCAGTCAGTGATGGAATGGCGGCACGAAGCTCACTGTTTACTCACCTTGATCTTGAGTCCACGTCGACTCCATCTGACTGAAATGAAAATTATTTCACACGTATTTTTCTATATACTGATTTTTTTCCTAGACAAAAGGTGTTTCAGTAATTACAGGAAGCTAAGGTACATTTATTGAAAGCTTGGATTCCACTTTATTTAACTGTGCGTTAATCAGTATATAAGTCAATCATTACCTCTTTCCAATATTTCTCTTACAGACCTGAAGACAGCAGACTAGTTGCTTGAAAATGTGATAAATGAAAAGTGTTCTTTTTGAGGAATAATCTACATGACCTGAGTTCTGATGTTTAGTATTTAATTTAAAAATTCATTTAAGTAAAGTGAATGGCTGAAAGAACAAAGGCAATCTGATGAGTGTAATCCAAAGTCGATGAACCACTGAAGACGTAGCTGTTAAATGGCAGCGAGTTTCCACGCTCACCTAATTCTCGTAAATCATGGAGGAAACACACAAATCTCTTTCTGAATTAAATTCTGCAAAGATCTCTTTTAACAAGATCATAGGCAATTTTCGGACAGAAGTTGCTTTTTAAATAACTGCATTCCTACCCTACATTTCCAGTCGCCGTTTTGGGGAAGACTCGTTTTAATCTGTCCAGTTTAACATTCTGATAGCAGTGTTCTCCAAACCAAATGAAAACCAAGAAGGCAGGTGACCCAGGACCTCTGCGTTACTTCCTGGGTCTCCCTCACCCTCCCTCCCTATGGAGGTAGTTAGCAATCAGGTCTTTGTAGGTTATGTAGAAATGCTGTCAAATAACTGTCCAACTCCCCTCTCTCCAAGCCAGAGTAAAATAAACCTGATCACCTAAAAATGGAGTCAGTTAGAGGTTCTCATTGTAAAAAAGAACATTATTCCTGCATAGAAAACAAATCATACTCTTCATTCAAAAGTGAGTCACTCATAATTACATAATTTTTTTTAAACACTTAGTTTTTGGTTTTTTTAAAGATTTTTTATTGGGGAATTGGGGGGATGGGAACATCGCTGGGGAATTGGGGGAAGGGGAACAGACAAGTTGCTGTCCTTTTGTTCTTCAGTCTAGTTGTGGAGGACAGTTGCTTCACTGGCCCAAGTTGGCACCATCATTGCGCTCTTCCCAGGCGAGGCAGATCAGTCGCCAGCTTCTGGATGGCCGCTCACTGCAGCTGCTGGCCGCTCACGCTGGCTGCTGGCTACACACGGTAGCCCATGACAACCCACTGCAGCAGGGGTTGCAGCCTACGCAGTCGCCATCGACTTATGGCAGCCCAGCTCCAGGTTGAGCTGTTGTTCAGCATCTTAGCTGTGGAGGGCAGTGTCACTGGCCCTCATATGTGGGATCCGAACCAGGGCCCTCTGGCATCCCAAGCCAGTTCTTAACCAACGCGCCACTCGGCTGGCCCACTCATAATTACATAATTTAGAATTAACCACTGTCAACCACTTTTCTCTGCATATTGTTTATAACCTAATATTTTGCTCTTTACACATCACATCATAAATATTTTTTCCTAGGTGAAAATTTCATACACACTTTTTTATGACTGAGAGTCTATCATATGTCTAATAATTTAACCATTCCCTTCAGTATTCCTTGGACACTGACATTTCCCACTTTCTTCTATTATAAATAATTTATAATGAACTCTCTCATCCACGAATTCTCAGTCAAATGCATCTAAGAAAGGAAGTGTCATTTTATTTTTTAAATTTATTTTTTATTAGTTTCAGGTGTACAAAGCAACATACTAGGTAGACATTTAAACCCCTCATAAAGTGACAACCCACCCCCCCAAGCTACTACCCCTCTGACATCCATATATAGCTGTTACAATACCATCGACTACCTTCCCTACGTTGTGCTCCACATCCTGTGACTATATATACCTGTATATTTAGTTATAGTTGACAGTCAATATTACTCTACTTCATAGAATAGGTGTAGAGCACAGTGGTCAGGCATCTACACAGCCTATGATGTGATCCCCCTGATAAGTCCAGTGCCCATCTGGCACCTTACATAATCTTTACAACATTGTTGATTATATTCCCCAAACTGTATTAACCACCAATTTGTATTTCTTAATGCCTTCACCTTTTTCACCCTGCCCCCGACACCATTCCCATCTGTCACCCTGATAGAGCTAGTACACCCATCTGGCACCATAATTATTACAATATTGTTGACTATATTCCTTACGCTACACCCTACATCCCCATGGCTACTGTGTAAGAGCCAATTTGTACTTCTTAATCCCTTTCCCCCTTTCACTTATCCTTAACCCCCCTCCCATCTTAAAGAAGTCCCTCTAAAACTCCTAGTAATGCTGGTTTGGTGGTGATGAACTCCTTCAGCGTTTTCTTGTCTGGGAAGCTCCTAATCTGTCCTTTGATTCTAAATGACAGCCTTGCTGGGTAGGGTAATCTTGGTTGCATGTCATTGCTTTTCATCACTTGCAATATTTCCTGCCACTCCCTTCTTGTCTGCAAAGTTTCTGTTGAGAAATCAGCTGACAGTCTTATGGGGGATCCCTTGTAGGTAACTAACTGCTTTTCTCTCACTGCTTTTAAGATTCTCTCTTTGTATTTAACCTTTGGCATTTTAATTATGATGTGTCTTGGTGTTGGCCTCTTTAGGTTCATCTTGTTTGGGACTCTGTGCTTTCTGAGCTTGTATGTTCCTTTCCTTCACCAGGTTAGGGAAGTTTTTTGTCGTTATTTCTTCAAATAGGTTCTCAATTCCTTGGTTTCTCTCTTCTCCTTCTGGTACCCCTATAATGTGAATGTTGGTACACTTGCTGTTGTCCCAGAGGCCCCTTAAGCTCTCGATTTTTTGGATTCTTTATTTTTTCTGTTTTGGTTGGGTGTTTTCTGCTACTTATCTCTACATCGCTGGTTGGATCCTCTGCTTCATATTATCTACTGTTGATTCCCTGTAATATATTCTTCATTTCCATTGTTGTATCCTTTATTTCTGACTGGTTCTTTTTCATGGTTTCCATCTCCATTTTCATGCTTCCTATCTCTCTGTTGAAGTTCTCCCTGAGATCACTGAGCATTCTTATAACCAGTGTTTGGAACTCTGCATCTGATAGATTGCTTAACTCCGTTTCAGTTAGTTCTTTTTCTGGAGCTTTGTTCTGTTCCTTTATTTGAGACATGTTTCCTTGTCTCTCCAGTTTGACTGCCTCTCTGTGTTTGTTTCTATGTATTAGGTAGGGCTGCTGTCTTCCAGTCTTAGTAGAGTGGCCTTATGTAGTAGGTGTGCTGTGGGATTCAGTGGCGCAGTCTTTGTTGTCGCCTGAGCCACGTGCTCCAGGTGTGTCCCTTGTGTGGGTTGTGTGTGCCCTCCTCTTATAGTTGAGCCTGGTTGCTATTTGCACATCAATGGGAGGGACTGACCCTTGGGCTCACTGGTTGTGAGGACTGGCCTTGACTATGGTGGAACAGTTGTGGTGCAGGGGCTCACCCTATGGAGCAGGGTCTGCCTCAGCAGGACTCTGGTGCCTGTCCAATCCATGCCTTGGGTGTGTCATACTTGGAGGCGGCTGGTCAAGCTCCAGGTCGTTTTGAAGCTGGCCACTGGGGGCGCCAGTCTCGGGACCACCTTGGAGGGGATCCGCTGTAGATCAAGTTCAGCCACAGCCCGAGCCCCACCTGGGGCCACCCAGCAGAAGCCAGAAAGAAATCTGCAGATGGCTGCCACCTGTGTCGTGTTTGGATGTGCTTTGAGAGGCCAAGCTGCGAACCAAGGCCCGCTGCCGCAAGTGCCAGCTTAGGGCTGCTCAGCCAGAGGTACAGGACATGCTGAAGCCAGATGCTGCTTGTCTGAGTTCTGCGAACCTCTGAGAGACCTTGGAAAGTCTGCAGCTTGAGCCAAGGCAAGCAGTCTGCACGAAAAAGCCACTGAAAGCAGCCTGGGTGTGCCTGAAAGTTGGGTGGGTCCAGGGCGGAGTGAACCAATGGCGGAGACTCAGAAACGGCAGCTGCCTGCGTCCACATGCCGGGGGAGGGCTCAACAAAGAAACAATGGCCTGTGCCAGCTCCACCGTCCAGGGGAAAGCCGCCTCTCCAGCCCCTTGTCCCAAGCCAGATAACTCAGTTCCCTACCATATGTCCCTGCTGCCTCTCCAGCTGCTGCCCCAGCGCTGGACCACACTCCACTGGTGGGCAAGTCCATGCGTGGTCCCCTCAGGAGGAGCGCCTGTGAGAGCAGCCACCCTCAGTCTCACTCAGTCATAATCTCTGCTGGTTTTCACAACCAGAAATTATGGGGACTTCTCTCTCCAGCACTGAAACCCTGGGCTGGGGGGCGGTGCTGGGACCTCTTGCTCCTCTGGGAGGACCCCCACAGCTGACATAGCCCTCCCGATCTTTAATGGTCACATGTAGGTGCGGGACCAGTCCGATCTGCGTCTCTGACCTTCCTACCAGTCTGGAGATGGCCTCTTCTGCACATCCCTAGTTGAAAGGATTCCGTTTAGCTTGATTTTAGGTGATTTTCAATAATGGTTGTTTTGTAGATTGGTTGTAATTTTGATATGGTTGTGAGAGAAGGTAACACAGCGTTTACTGCCATCTTGGTCGTCTCTCCAGAAGTGTCATTTTATACTCCCAACAGTGATGCATGTCTTTTGCAACCCAAAGTTTTTAAATTGTATCATTTAAATTCAGTATTCTTGGTGATTTCAAATCATGATAGTGAAACCAGAGGCCAGCCGAGTCCGTGGTTCATACTGTCTGCGCGGCTCAGCCAATAGACCGACACCGGAGTTGGGTCGGAATAAGCGTTACTATCAGAGCACCGGTGGTGTGAGAAGGCAGCGGGGTTAGCTCCTCCAAAAACTACCCTACAGTTTCAGACTGGCTGGGGTATTTAAGGGGAAATCTGGGCATTTCTCCAGAGCCACATGACGGTTCCAGGGATCTGCATGGAGACTTCCCTCTGACGATGTGGCTCCCCAGTGACCATCAACCCAGGAGCAGTGATGACAGTAACCTGGAAAAAATGCTAGGCCGTAGAGATTGTGATCAGTAAGCATGGGGGTACTAATCATAAGTTTCAGGGTAATTTTCTAAAACAGGGAACTGGGTGGGACAGGAGACATTCTGAGCTCAAGCCGCAGGGGGATGATCTATTGTTAAGCTATAGGGAGGTCAAGGAAAGGGGGGGCCAGGGGCATGGAGAGGCCTCTACTATGGGGGTGCCAACCGGGCCCTGCTTCAATTGTTCCTTCAAATGTGAAAAATCTCAAAGTACCTCAGCTGTAATCATAATTTTGGCAGAAACTAAAATGGCTATACAGAAGGTGCCAAAAGTATACACATTTTAAGAAAGGAAATCTGTATTAAAATTGTAATACTCGATATAGACCAATAACAAAAGATGAATACAAGTCATGTTTGACTTCTGCAATTACAAGAGGTGCTCAAAATGGTTACTATCAGCGACCAGACACTTCTGATGACAGCGAACTACTGCTTGAGCAATGCTGGCCAAAGTGTCCACTTGTGTACAATTTTTTGGCACCCCTGGACATTTGAATCGAAGAAAACCAAACAGATCTGAGTCCTCATCAACACATAGAATAGTTTAAAATCCAGGATTTTTAAGAAGTAGGCAAGAAAGTTGCTATTAGTTATTACCTAAAATAAAAACATTGATACTGTCAAAAATATACTAACTTCTTTCTAGAGAAAGGTCCAAGCTGATCCTCTTTTATAAGCTGACATTTAACATCTCAATTACTCCCTGAAACCTTTCAAGAGATTATTTGGCATTTTATAAAATCATACCTGTTTCAGTATCTTCCTGACATTTTTATAAATGATTGCTATTTCCCAGCACCTTTTATATATATATTTTAAATCAGGATGTTTCCATAGGAATAGAGGGGAATAGATTTGCATGTGTTTAAACTCTCGTTCTACCCTAAACTACATTAATACACTTTAGTAGAAAGCGGTGTATTCATAAGTAAAATGAAGTTACTTCAATATCAAATACATATTTATACACCTGTAACTTAAAACTCATTTAACACAAGTTATGAAACTTATGAAAAGCTTATTAAAGAGGCGCAATGTGTAAGGCAGAAGTACTGGGTGCAATTGTCTGAAGTCTTAAATTCTCACACGTAACTTGCTTTCTTTACAACCATAGTCTCTTGCCTGATCTATCCCCACAGACTTTTAACTCTCCCCAAATCTCCTTTCAGCCCCTCCAAGCTGGGGCCAGAAAGATCTTTTCAGCACTGCACCTCGCTCCTTCCCGAGGCCTGCGCGGTGCCGACACCTCCCTCAATCGCTCCCAGCCCCTCCCACTGCCTTACCAGGGCTGTGTCCCCACAAGGTCCCTCCTGGAAGGGAGCCCCACACCCGCTGCCCAGTTACCTCTTTTTATGTCTGATCTCAGCTTGGAAATAGTTTCCACAGAGCCCTTCCCTCGGTCACTGTCTGATCAGACTCTTTCTGTATGATGTCACAGCACTCTACTTGCTGACTGTCACAGTGCTTTTATGTAATCAACTGTCCCCATAAGGCGCAGCCGGGTGGATTCTGCTCACCTTGTACCCAGTGCTGGCACCATCCCTGGGACTCAAGAGCTACGCAAACTTTTTCTTTTTAAGTTTATTTTTTTATTGCGAAATAAACATTTTTAAAATTAGTTTCAGCTGTACAACACAGTGCAATAGTTTTACTTTTTACCCCTCAAAGTGACAGCCCCCCCCAACGCACTTTTTTGAATGAATGAATTTGAAGTTTCAGGATACCTTGCAGTCTTTTACCTGAGGCTTTTTGCCCATGAAGATGTATGCGCTCGACCCCTTTACTGAGCAAGGAGACCAAGGGCCTGAGGAAGGACTGGGGCTGACTGCAGCGACTGGGACAGCGTGTCACCCAACTGAGCCTGCATGGCAGCAGAGTCCCACTAGGGCACTGTCAGTGTTCTCTGCTTAGCTTTGGATGATAAATGTAAAAATGGCACAAAAGAACCCTAGGATCAGGTGCTTTTCCAAAGCCATTCATAAAAGCGCTATAGGAAACACTGCGAGTCCCCCCAAGGTCCCCATTCTGATTTTTGAGACCTCAGTCTTTCCCAATTAGCACCTGAGCTTTCAGGTAAGAAACCTGCCGAGGCTGTGAGTACACCTGCCCGTTAGCTGGCCAACCTGAGGCTCCCAACTCCAGGTGTGGGTTTTGCAGCGATGCTGTGTTTTAGGGTGGTTGTGGGTGGTGGGTGCTTGGACCTTGTGGGTGTCACCTCCTCCCCGCGGGCCCCACTGCACACAGTTGCTGGGTGTTGTCATGTATTGGCTCCTCGTTGTGAATGTCTGAACACAGACGGTACGTGCACACATCCGGTACCCTTTCCCAGCAGTGGGTGACTTGCCTGTGCTGTGTGTCACCCTCCGAGTTACCTACTTTCTGTATGACAAACACTGTTTTCCAATAGCGCTCCGATGAACGCGCCTGCCTCTCCCGTGTGCCGGGTCTCGGGGTACTGGCTCCCTTACTGGTTTCCTGGACGTGCTCTACCTCCTGCTGCCTGTCAGCGGCCGGACTCCTTCCTGGACTTGGCGTAAAAGCCATCCTGAGAAGGACGGGAGACAGAGATCCCGCAGGGCTCAGAGCCGGGGTGTCCACAAGCTTGGTTACTAGTTAATGTCAACTTAAAGTGACATGGGACAGCAACGAGCTGACCTAGGCTGGGATTCACGCCCTCTGCAACCAGTTGTGCAACCTAAGCCTGTTTCCTTCTCTGCAAACTGTCTGCTGGCAGGTGGATGAAACGATTTGAGAAAATGGCTTGTGCATCACTTAGTTCAGGGTGAGGCAGAGAGTAGACATATTACAATGAGATGCAAACTTGGAATGAGGAGCCCGACTCATTATAAAGTCAACTATACTGCATGCAGCCTATGGACTGCAATATATTCAACTGTAAAGCACCAGTGAAAAGTTATTCAAGTCAGATGTAAATGAACTTATTACCTACAACTCGTGAATACAACAAATTTACAACATGCATTAAATTTACAAATGTGGAGTGTATTTTTTTGTTTTTTGACAAAACAATTTTAACAAACCTAATAAATCTTTATCAGTAAGAGATGTAATTCACATGCCATACGATTCACCCAATTAAAGCTTGCCAAGTCAGTGGTTTTGGGTAGTCACTGATATTCACAACCATAACCATCAATTTAAAAAAGAAACCTGTACCCAGTAGCTATCACCCCCCCACACCCCACCCACCCCCGTCTTAACCACTCATCTGCTCCCCCCACCCCCTCACTCGCCTGCTCTGGACACTTCGCGTCAGTGGGATCGTGCTGTGTGTGGTGACCAGCTTCTCACACACTGTTTTCAAGCTTCATGATGTTCTGGCCTCATTTCTTCAGACTGGATAACGTTCCGTCATGTGGATGGAGCACATTTTGTTTCTCCCTTCAGCAGCTGATGGACATGTCGGTCGCTGTTCACCAATTTGAGCTATTTTAACGCTGCCATACATGTTCGTGTCCAAGTGTCTGTGTGGACATGTGTGTTCGGTTCGCTTGGGCATGTACCTACGAGTGATGTGGCTGGGTCACATGGTCACTGTTTTACTTTTGGAGGAAACGGCAAGCTGGTTCCCAGCGGCTGCGGCGTTTTACCTTCGCACCAGCAGTCAGGGCGCCCTCTTCTCGGCATCCCTGCCCTTCTGAGTCTATGCACACCCTCCTAAGTGTGACATCACCCGGTTTTGAGTTGCATCTCCTTGGTGATAATGACAGTGACACTCTTTTCATGTGATTATTGGCTATTTATCTTGAAGAAATGTCACAAGTATAATATTGACTGTCTATTATATACCAGGTACTTGGGGTCACATTGATTTTGCCACTGGCCCTCACATGAGATGGCATTACACTCTGTAAATGCAAAAATTTACAAAATTTTAAAATGAGAAGTCAAACTGCAGATATGCATTTGATTTTTAAATCCATTTAAAAGCACACCCTCGTTTGTATTTATTGGTTTCAATTTTGTTAAGTATGCCTCATGTGTCCAGGACGACCAGTCCAGGTGACCTGGGCAGTGCGCACTTTCACACCCAACGGTCCACCAGGCACTGTTCTGAGTGGTCCTGACACATGTCAGTCACAGCAGACACTACTGCTGAACAAAACTCTCCTGCTGGAAAGTGTTATAAAAGAAAGGCTTTATTGAGCCACATGGTAGCGAGAGCAGCAGCAGGTCCCGGGGCGTGCGGTCTGCGCCGCCAGCAGCAGCCGGGCTGGGTGGAAACAAGCCTGCCTGAGGTCCTGCCTCTGGGGAAGGGAGATGTGTCGAAGAACTTACACTGGCTACAGCTATGGGGTGGGAAGGGGCAGGGGCAGCCCTAAGATCGGTGCACAGTCTGAAGAAACATTTCCAACTTTTCACTGGTTACGGACAACGGACCAGGAAGTCCATGTGTGTGCAGGACGCAGTGACGTTCAGCGGCCGGCAGCGAGACCCCTGGGGGTTGATAGAACGCTCCAGCGCACAGTCGGGAATCGGTGCAGTCTTCTGCCAGCTGGCCCCGCCATGAACTGGCTAACTACTCGTCTCTCGCTCTCACTTTGGCCAATGTCAGTTAATTTAGAACATCTCAGACTTCCTCTCCGGTCACTACCACCCCTTCACTCCAAAGACGGCGCTCTAGGAGGCCACTTGCCTGAGGTTGTGAGGAGGCGGCAGAGCCGGGGTGTGGGGGTGGGGGGGTGGAAGCAGGCAGGGCTCCAGCTGTGCCCCCCCCACACCCCACACCCCAGCTCCGCACACACTCTACACCGTCTGTGCAGCAATGTGCTCGGTTAGACACCCCCCTCCCAGCCACCACTCTGCTGCTGGGCTAGGAGATTTGTAAGAGGCCTGAGATGGATAAGGAAACTACTGGGTGAAGCACACTGTCTACAAAGAACAGATTATTCTTAGGAGTGAGGAACTGCTCTTACTCTTTATATTATATTTAAAAGAAAGGCTCCAAAAATCATTATTTTATTGTACTTTTTATAACCAGAAAAATGAAACCTTTTTCCTTAAGTGTGTATTCTTTCTGAATTCAAGGCTTTGGATTCTGTTTTGGGTTGAACTGTGTTCACCCCCAATTCGCATGTTGGGTGCCCTAACCCCCAGGACCTCAGAATGGGACCTTATTTGGAGATGGGGCTGCTGCAGATGCAATGGGTTAAGGCGAGGTCACACTGGAGTCGAGTGGCCCTCAGCTAATGACTGGGTCATTAGGGGGGAAATCTGGACAGGCCCACGGGGAGAGGCCACGTGAAGGTGAGGCCGGGGCCCGGTGAAGCATCCACATGCCAAGGTGCTGAAGCTGCCAGAGACCTTCCGGAGCTGGGAGACGGGCAGGGAACACACGCCTGGGTCATGACTTCCTGTGTCAGGCCTGCGGGACACAAATTCTGCTAAGTCACCCAGGCTGTGGTACTTTGTTCCAGCAGCCCCAGGAAACTCAGAGTCCCACTGCCAAGTGCAAAACAGAGTGGCCCACAGGACACGCCCGAACTTCACTCCAATGGTAATGTTAAGAACTGAGTTTTGACTTCCCGAATCAGTAATCTATACAACCAGGTTCTTAAGAATGAAACGATTAGGACTGTTCCCATCACCCAGTATTTTATTTACTTTAGCTAAATATTTAGATGTTTGCTAATATAAAAATACAGTGACCAGGTCGACTCAAAGTTAAGGCTATGTGCCCATTATTGCAAAGGCCCTGCAGCCCTGTGGGCTTACTGCTCTTCACACCTTTTCTCAAAGGCTTTCAATAGCTTAGAACATTCCCACATGGAACTGACTCCACAACACACATTCCCCCAGCCTGGGCAAGCTCAGTACCTGTTAGGACGAGGGCTCAGTATCTGCTGGGACGAGGGCTCAGTATCTATACTTCGTGGAGTAGTCCTTGGGAGACACGACCAGGCCGCGACCTTTCCGGGCACCTCGGTACACAGTCTCGATGATGTCGATCATCTCCTGTTTGTCTTCCATGGCCCAGTTGATCTTGTTGTTGTTTCCAGTCCCCAGGTCAATCATAATGTGCTTGTTCCTGCAAAGAGGAAACAGGGTCAACAGGCACAGAGAGCCTAAGTGCCCCTGATGTTATAAGCACCTGTCAGAAATCACCTCGGACTTGGACTTGCCACTTCCTGGCCGTTCCTTCGGCCACAAACACACTAAGTCATCTCGTCTGATTCTGATGCGCTCAGCAAACAATGGCAAGGCAGGGCCACCGAAAGGAACCCCTGATAAGTGTGGGGACACTGGCTTAGGCAGCGCACAGCCACACACAGCCGTAGGAGCTGGACAGTGGACCCGGTGCCCTGTCAGTGGTCACCCCTATGGAGTGCAGAGACCAGGGATCGCCCTAGCGCTGTAACGCTGAGTTCTTTCAAAACCAACTCATAACTGAGGCCAAGTGACAGCGCTGTGTGCCCATTTAAATAGGGCGTGCCTGAAGGCATAAAGTACATTAGAAACCTTCAAAAAAAAATCATCTGAGACAAGGACACACACAATCAAGAGGCTACACCACGATTTAGGAGAAGACGAAAAGAGCCTAAATACTATTTTTTTTTTTTTTTAAGCTGAGCCATCCTGCTACCTGTTGGCAGCTCAGCGGCTGCTCAGCTCGGGCTGGACTCAAACCGCTGTTGCTCAGAGCTCAAACTCTTGAGCGAGCTCTTAACCAACTGAGCCACTCGGCCGGCCCCTAAATACTATTTTAAAAAACACAATGGCTTGTCCACCAGCCCTTTCAGTATGCGTCTGTATTTCCCCAGGACAAATATCCTACAGCATAACTCCAGGGTGTTGTACTCATTAGCCTGAAAAAAGCAACGTATGAGTTTTTCATGGAGCTCTTGTGAGCATTCAGTATAAGTTTAATTAAAAGCCCTACTAATTGTGAAATTATTCGTTGTGAACATGATAGTATTTCTGTTCGGGAAGCAGACAGTTCTTCACAGGCGGCTACTTTTTACAGGTGTGCTGTATACAATGACGGTATGAAAGCTTGTGCCTGTGCATTCATCTTCCTGGGTTGTTGGAGATGATTTTGTTGCCTAAACTATTCACGCCACAAGCTTGGACACTTGGTTTCGGCCCACCATTCCACGGAAAGCGCTGCATCTGGAAGCCCCTGCTGTGGCCTCCTCAGCCAGAGCGAGCGTCCAACAGACAAATTTGGTGTCAATTCTGCTGCAAACCTTCACCTCCAGGACAGCCTTCCAAGTCCTCGCCTGGCCCTGCCCTTCTAGCCTCCCGCAGCCTGTCACCCCACATTCTGCAGGTCCCCACAGGGCGTGCCATCTGTGCCTCTGCCCCTGGGGGAGTGCTTACATGTGGCTCACCCCACACTCCCCACCGCCCTGCGTGGTCTGGTGTCTGTCTGTAACTACGCGTCCCCTGGCCTCGCCCCACTTCCCTGGGTGATGGACTCCACTGCGGCCATCGGATGAAGTTCTGCAACCGCAGGAACCCTGTCTTATCTGACTTGATGTCCCAGCTCTGGACCATAAAACCTGGAGGAACTCAGCATACACAATGGTGGACAAGTTAACTGGCGTGCTGACACTGCTTGTATCAGAATTGGGGATCACAGACAGGAGAGTCCCGTCCTTTTCTGAGTGCAACCCCAGCCCCCAAACCAACATGCACAGCCCGCCACGCACCACCCAGAACCCTTCCCCGTCACAGTGTCTCCTGCCCTTGGTTGGCCACACACAGTGGGGGCAGGACCCAGGATGGCCCTCAAGAATCCTGCCTGAAGGATGGGGGTATGGGGAGGGTACGAGGAGCATGAAGAAAAGGCCAGACTGCCGTGAGTAGCCTGTTAGTGGCAGCCTCGGCTCTGAGACCACCACCGGTGAGGGCTCGGGAGGAAGTGGGGAACATGTCACTGGGAATGGAGGAAGGGGTTCTTCTTAATGGCGGGAGAGCGTCAGCGACACTTTCCTGCAACTGGTGGAAAGCAGGAGTCATAAGTGATAAACTCGGACAGTTAGCTGAGGGAGTATCAAGCGAAGTTTTGAGGACTCCACCTGGTTTCTTCTTGCTGCTTATAGTAAAATAGAGAAGAGAAACAAGCTGGCTTACAAACTGCAACAGAGCAAGAATAAATTCTCAGACTCTCCAGATAGCAAAAGATGCCGAAATCCACAAATGGCTGCTGGACACGTGGCACAGAGAAAAGGAACAGGCCACACACCTTCTGCTGAAACCTACAGCAGACCTCAAGTCAGGCCGTTCAGTCAGAGGAAAGCTGTACATCAGGAACGCTCCCCAGGAAGCCACCGTCATGCAGCGGGCATGCCCTTGACGCCCAGGACAGAAATACTGCCGGCTCGGGCTGAGAGGCATAGAGGATACAGCTGATGAAACCCCAAATGCTGTTGGCAGGAAGCAGGCTGAGAAATGACCCAGCTGCAAACACCTTTCATGAAGAAGGCAGGAAAACCTCGGTAGAACCCCCTCGGGGCGGGCATCGGCCAGGGGCCCAGCTTGGCACCAGATCCCTCACCCTCCGGCCCCTCCTGAACCCAGACCTGTTTCCTGTGCCTGCACACTGCATGCTGGGGGAGTTGGGGCCACAAGTAAGGAGGGGGTCCAGGAGCTGTGCTTAGTGGGTCCACATCGATTCTGCAGATGGGTGGCAGAGGGTAGGCTGCAGTAGGCAAAACCCTAAAAGAAGCCCCAGGGTTTCCTGCCTTAACCTCTGGAACTGTGACATGATGAGACCGTTCCATCCCACTTCACAGGGATTCTGCAAATGTCTCTAAGGTTACTAATCAGTCGACTTCAAAGACAAGCCCTCTAAAATCAAAACAGGAGGCTGGAGGGGCTGTGTGAAAAGAGCTCAACCTGCCATTGAGGGCTTCAGACATGGAGGGGGGCCTCTAGGAGCAGAGAGGAGCCAGCGAGGACAAGGATGAGGCCTCAGACCCACAGCCTCGAGGCAGTGGGTGCAGCCAACAACCTGAGCGAGCCCAGTGGCTTCCTCCCAGACCAACTGCCCAGGGAACAGCCTGACCTGGGGCCCTGGCCTTGCGACACGGAGACCCTGACAGCCCACTGAGCCTGCCTGGGCTTGGCCCTCAGAACCTCGAGTGCATCCAAGCTCGTGCTAGTTTGTTACATGGAGTAGAAAGCTAACACGCACCAATTTCCCAGTAAAATCTTTAAAAAATAAAAAAAATTTAAAAAAAATTAAAAATAAAAGCGAGTTTCTTTAAAACAGACACTTTCATCAACAGATTACATTTAAAGATATCTGAAATGTCAATAAGAATGTCTTCCATTTAATTACACTTCACGTAGGTTTCTGGACAGTTATTTCAAAAGGGTAATTTGTTGTTAAGAAAATGCTAAAACTGCAACTGTTACTTTGAAAATTATTTAAAGATCACACTGATGGTCTGGTGATACAAGCTGTATGTGATATGACTACATAGCTGACTTCCTTCTAAATAAAAGAATCTAAAGGTATCTTGATTACATTAAACTTCCAGGCCAACAATTTCAATTTAAATAACTTTAAGAGGACATACCTGAAGAAAAACATGACAGTACACGGATCGTATAACTCATACATTTTGTTGAAGTCAGGTACTTCTGTAATATCCACAAGATAAATAACTGCAAAATTTTTAACCTAAAAGTAAAGATTGAAAGAAAAAAGAAAAACCTAAGATAAATCAACTTTTCATTCTGTAAAAGCACATTCAAAAACAAAAACAACAATCTGTGTATAACAGAACAATTTGCCAACTAACTCTCCAACATTCTTCCCAGTAAAGGTGATACACAGGGACACGACATGCCCAGGACCCTGAGCAACCGGCTGCTCATACCTCACTTTAACATTTTTCAGAACAGCTGGTTACATGAGCCCTGCAGAAAATGCCCCCAGATACATTATTCATGTCGATATAGCGATAATCTATGGGAACTTGTGCCAGCTTATACTTTGACAGCTCCTTAATCACATGCATACCTTTCGAGTTCAGCCCTACATCCCTCACTCACTTTTGAGCCCTTGTAAACACTAACAGACTAGTACCCCAAATATAACACTGTATATAACATTCTCTTTAATTGCAAGTTCATCAAAGATTTAGAAAACCCAGAAAACTCTAAATAAAATCCCAACAGTTAACTGCTGCAAATGTATTTTTGGTATCTTCTTTCCCCTTTTTTTCTGGTGGGAAGGAGGGGCCGTCTTCAATGGCCCTTGTCTCGTGTGGGCAGCTATGTGCGGACACGCCAATACAGCAGCAACTGGCCTTCCTCTAACTCTGACCCCTCCCCATTTCTTTCCTCTGGAAAAACTGCCATTTGTCAGGGCTTCCCCTAACGTGGGCTGAGGGGACTGTCATGAGGCCTCCCACATGGCCTGAACGGTTTCTTTCCTAAACATGTCACATCCATGAATGAACCTGCAGTGAACTAAAACCCGTGTATTTTTTTAACATAAAACTGAAATTAAGCTAGGTGTCTGTTCTCCATGTAAAAAAATGTTCACTTGGAAAATATAGAAATGAAGTGGAAAAAAAAATCACTGCTTTGCATCCAGCCCAGTACTTTTCCAACAAATTATATAATTTAGAAAACATAAGACAGGCAAAATCAGTCAGTGGTACGAGTGTGTGAGAGTGAAAAGTAACGTCTCATTTCCCCACACGCTCGCTCATGAGGACCTTGTAGTCGCTGCTTTTCTCCAGCTGACCTCACTAACATTTCCTCACCTTATTAAGTGAAGCTCTCAGGAAACCCTTTTAACAGTTGAGTGAGTGACAGTCCACCCAGTGGGGTGGACGCTCCCAGTCTAAAGCCCGATTTCAGAGACAGAGACTCGTAGTACCTGGGAAGGAGCTGTGGGCAGGACCACAGGGGTCAGTTTCCTCCCTGGCGCTGTGATTGGCCTAAGTGCTCAGAAACATGGTCAGCACTGGGTTCTGTCACTGGACGCTGTGCTGCCTCCAGTTTTGCTGTCAATTACAGCAGCGATGTCATGGAGCACCAACCTTTGCCTTCCTAAGGGCAGGGAGACTGAGAAAGGTGACTGTTCGTCAGGCTTTTCACACAATGCCAGGCGACTTTCGCCACACCCCAACAATTAAACACCCTTTTCTCTTTGATATGTGTAAAAACATGACAGCACTGTTTTAATGTTTGTTTCTTTGAAGTTTACTGAACGACTGGAATTTCTACCTTTTTCAAGTTCTATGCCCATTTACGCATGGGAGTCATCTTTTTAAAAGGCACTTTAAACTTATTTGCATAAGCCTTTCATATTTAAAACACATATTACCTACTATCTTTGCAGTAGTCCTAGCTGGTGGTTGAATAGTATTTTTTAAACAAGGACCACATGTAGAAATTTCATTCTATTATCAAGTTGTTTTTAATATACACACTCTTTTGATCTGTTGCCTGCATATTCCTAAGCACACGTTTTTTTTCTTCAGCAAGTCAGTGATTCAGCTGTCCATCAGTCCCTCTGCATGCCACTAAATCATCTCCACGTAGGCTGACTCATGCAGACCACTAAGATAGGCCGGCATGTGACGCCAACCACCGGCCCACCTTTGTAGGAGGAGCTCCTTCACCAGCTAAGAACCTACCCCATACACCAGAAAAAATGTTCTGGGCTGTCAACTGGCACTGTGTAGTCTTGATGAACTAATTATTACATTTGTAGGTAATTCATTTCAAATCTATCAAAAAAACTGCATAGTAACTATTTTCTAAAACTACTACATGTCCTGATTAGCTCTACCTAGAGTAACTCTGGCAAATCTTGTGATGTGAGAGTAATAGTAACGGTGGCTAATGATTACCGAGTAGACTACTTGCTCTGTTTCAGGAAGTGTGCTAGAAGCCTTTCTATGAACTCTACCCTCACCACTGCCCTGAGAGTTAGGCACTGGTACCCCTCTCTCCGATGAGTAACATGCGGCGCAGGGACAATTATTTAAGGCCACACAGGTAGTCAGTGGCAGAATCCAGCTCAGTCTGTACCTTAACCACTGCTCAACCCTGCCCCTCACAGCTTGCCACTAGCTGCAAAGTTCTTAGATCAAGAGACACAAATCCACAGTGAACCCAAACAATGCTCATTCTGTGTGTTCCTAGCAGACTCTTCACGGAACAAGCTGTGTGGTCCGCTGGCTTGACTGATGTCACGTGATGCTGAGATGGACCCCAGGTCACTTCTAGAGTTCCAGACACACATTTGCCTTATAAGCACCTTGATTAGAATGCGCGGTCACGAGTTGACATTGCTCAGGTTCTGCATTTTTTAAACTCTATTCGTACGGACTTTTTAACATACAAAAATGAAACGTCCCATTTATTCTTACCCATCGTGGGATCTGGGTGACAGTGAGCTGTGCCAAACTGTGCTCCTGCAAAATGGCAAGACAGCTCAGAGGTGCACGAAATAGCCTCTCTTCGAAGCTATGCATAAAATCAGCTGCTAAACAGGAAGCTTTATTTGTTCCTATCACTCAACCAGCCTCCAGGCATCTGTAAAGGCTGGAAGGAATCTCTGTTTGAGGACAGCTCAAGGTGAGTCCAGCCCTGTCCGGTCAAGTCAACACACCACATTTCAGGAGAAACATCAGGTCCGGCCTCAACACTGAACTTTTACTCACTTCAGAACAGCTGGGATATCCAAACAGGGCTCGTAACAAGATGAGGAGGATCCCCCATTATCTGCCATTTCTGCAGAGGGAGATTTTTAAACAGAGTTAAATTGTTCTTTATGCTAAAACCTTCAATTTCAAAAATTCCTGTTGAGCTTCCCCAGAGAGTGCCTCCAGAATTACAGTCTCATTTTACCCTTATACTAAGAAGAGAATAAAACATTAACAGTCTTGGAATATATTTCAAGTTTGCGTTTTGAGTTACTATATTGTAATACAGTATTAAAAGTTTATTAAAATAAAAACCCAAATTTTTGGACAAAAGAAAAACGGTAACTTCAAGACCAAACAAAAATACTCAAAGTAAGCCCAATTAAACCTGTCCTGATCCACAGGTTCAAAATCAAAAAGAATGTGTTCACTACTGACATGGTGATTCAGTCTGTGACCGCCAGAAAGGGATTAGGAAAGAACTCTGGTCAAAGTCCCTGACACTTACGTTAACACACAAAATCTGCCTCCTAGCTAAGAGCATCTTGCTGAGTTTTGCTCAGACATGAAGAGCCAACCAACCCTCAGGTCTCCAGCCATCCTAGCCTCGCGCTGAGGGCAGCAGGATCTGGACATCACCTGGTGGTTATGCCGCCACCTGCGAGGCAGAATTGAGAACACACACCCTGAGTTATTTCAAAGTCAAAACGCTAATGATTTGCTTATTGGAGAAGTGCTTGGTAGTCTTCACTGAAGTCAGCAGTAAGCTGCCCTAGACCTCTACAGCTTAAGCAATGAATAAATGACTCCCTGGCACCACCTAACTCATGACCTCTGACCCCAACTGGGAGGACCCCCAGTGTGAGCGGACAGCCCTCTCCAGAGCACCACAGGCTCCTGCTCAAGCTCCTCAAAGTCTTGGTGTCCAAGAAGAAGAGGAGGGGATGCTGATAACCGCAGCACTCAAACCCTGACCCTGACCTCTGAGAGTCACATCACAGTTGCCAGGGGAGCTTCTTAAAAATGCCGTTTGGGGACCTCACCCAAGACCTACAGAGTCAGAATCACTGTGATGCCCTTTGGTAAGTAGTCCAAGTGGCACTTGTGACGACTGACATGGAAGACGGTCCCTGACACTCACAATGCACCACCCCCGCCTCACTCTTCTACCAAACAGGTGACAGTAAAAATTGGCAATGGCAGGTCAGATAGTTTTTCCTGCCTTAATTTCAAATTATATCCTTACATCTCATTTTATTCACTCAAAGGTGTTATTTTAACCCAGCTTATATCAGCATCTCCTATTCCCATGAAAGAAAAGATGTTTTTACTTTTACTCTTCATTAAAATGAATGCCCTCTCAAATCATTTATAGATTATTAAGTTAATTATTTCATGAGCACGCTAATATATTTGGACTTTTGCCCTCTTGCTACAATTGCAAAAATCCAAATCAAAGTTAACTTAAATCACCATGAGGAAAGTAAACAAAAGAACTAAGTGCCTGGTTATACAATAGTGCCCTAAATTGCACTCTTACTGTCAGCAACTAAATGCCACAGACAAACCAGTGCACTAATATTAAAAACTAGGAAAACTAGCTCTAACAAGCACAATTCTATTTTCTTCTACTGGGCCCTTCATTTAAATCACTCTAAACTATAAATCACGTGACTTACAAACAGCATGGTGGAGTCAAGAAAAGAAAAACGACGAAAAGAAAAAGAACAGGATTTATTATGCTACTAACATAAACGTTCTGCTTTATAAATACAACAAATAAACACAGTCCCCCCAAAAGGACAATCCTTTTAAACTATTTAAAGTAAGCTCCAACGCCCTTGCCAAAGTCTGCAAATGTGTTTTGTTCACGACGTTATAGATGTAAAGTCTGAAAACACCCTATCCCTGGGAATTATTAACTTATTTCGGGGGGGGGGGGGCTCATGAACCTCTTTAAAATTTGAAAACGTATGGCAACTTCTCCCAGAAAAAGCCATGCGCCACTGCGTGCGATTTCAGGCAGCACATCCTCACCTCACAAGGTGAGACGCTTTCCGTGTATCAATCCTGCGTCTTCCCTTTACTCGGAGGACGTGCCGCACATTAGAAACGAAGGCCTTAAGAACGAGCATAAAACGCAGTTTTTAACCTCCCTGCACCATGTCCTGCCGACCGGCCGCGGGGCCGCGTTACCTTTTCCGCGATGCTGTACAGCACCTCGTCCATCTTCATGCACGTGGGGTCCCAGTCGTGCCCGAAGCGGATGACGACCACGCGGTCTTCCTCCGACAGGATGGCCTGGTCCACCTGCCAGCCGTTGTGCAAGTGCGGGAGCATGTACGACATCCTGGCGGCGGAACGGGCCCTGCGCGAGACGCACTCAGTGACCGCGCTTCTTCCGGCCCCGGCTCAGCGCGCGCGGGCGGGCGGGGGCTGCCGTCCCGCTCCGGTCCCCGCCCGGCCCCGGTTCCCGCCGGGCCCCGCTCCCCGCCGAGGTCGCTCTCCGCCCGGCCTCGCTCCCCGCCCGGCCCGGTTCCCGCCAAACCAGGTTCCCCCGACCGGGCTCGCACGCACCTCCCGCGCAGCGGTCACCCCCGGCGCGGACGCGCGCTGACGTGTGCGTGCGCGTGCCCGCCGAACGTGCGTGTGTCCGCCGTGCGTGCGCGTGCCCGCAGCCCAGAGGAGGGGAGCCGGCGGCCCCGCGGCCCAGGGCTGGCGCCCGGTTGTCTGTCCCGTCAGGGCGTCGGGGAGACCGCGCTTCCCCGCGCTGCCCCGTGACCCGGAGGAGGCGGCGCTGAGCTGAGGAGCCCCGTGACCCCGAGGCGGGGCCGCCCCGAGTGCGTCCGTGTGGCGCGCGTGCTTTCCAGACATCAGCACAGTTAGCTGGACTCGTCAAAAGCGGTGTAGTCACAGAAAAGTTCTCCAAGCTATGCGTAAGATTCCAACGCCCCCAATTACAATAATTGACTGAAACCAGCATTTTTACAGTCTATGTGGTCAAGTACGTGTAAGAGTTACCGTTTTAACCCCATTAAGCGTTCAGTGGCATTAACTACATTGGCAGCCTTCAGCACTGTTTTCAAATACGTCTTTTTGTTAAAAAGCTTCGTTGAGATACCATTCATCTACTGTAACGTGAAATCCACCCGTGTAAGGAAATCTGGTTGTTCAGAGTCGTGGAACCAGCTCTACCCTCACCAGAGACATAATAGGAAATGATTTCCCCCCATCCTGTGGATTGACTTTTCACTTTTTATTGGTATCATTTGCAGCACAAATTTTAAATTTTTACTAAGTCCAA